ATATCCCCATATCTCTTCCCTCTTGCATCTCCCTCCCTTCGACCCTCCCTATCCCACCCCTCTAGGTGGTCACAAAGCACCGAGCTCTGCTATGTGGCTGCTTCCCACTAGCTGTCGGTTTTACATTTGGTACTGTATATATGTCCATGCCACTCTTTCACTTCGTCCCAGATTACCCTTCCCCCTCCCCGTGTCCTCGAGTCCATTCTCTAGTACGTCTGCGTCTTTAATCCTGTCCTGCCCTTAGGTTCTTCATGAGCCTTTTTTTTTTTTTTAGATTCCATAAATATGTGTTAGCATATGGTATTTGTTTTTCTCTTTCTGACTTACTTCAATCTGTATGACAGACTCTAGGTCCATCCACCTCACTACAAATAACTCAATTTCGTTTCTTTTTATGACTGAGTTATATTCCATTGTATATATGTGCCACATCTTCTTTATCCATTCATCTGTCGATGGACACTTAGATTGCTTCCATGTCCTGGCTATTGTAAATAGAGCTGCAATGAACATTGTGGTACATGACTCTTTTTGAATTATGGTTTTCTCAGGGTATATGCCCAGTAGTAGGATTGCTGGGTCGTATGGTATATAACCAGTATTTTAAACACCCCTTTACTATCCTGAAATAAAAGTTTACAGGGAATATTGATTGTTTACAAACCTAATATCAAAATCACTATAAAATATAAGGGAATAAAATACAAAAGATTCTGTATTTCAGTGTAAATGCTCATTCTTTCACATAATGAGGTAATCAGATGCTTGCATGTACGTAGTAAAATCATCAAGAGCAGGACAGCCATGATTATACAGCCAGACTGGTGTGCTGCATTTGTGACTAACACCCAGGAGTCAAGAACATGATTTTTCTGAGTTGGTGAACAACTCTTTGGAAAGTTCTAAACAAAAGAAAGTACTGTTTTCTCCAGTTTTACGCAGTAGCTGAGTTTTTGGGAAATTCAGGTGTATTAAAACTGTGCAAAACTTTCCTTGTGTATTTGTAAAAAGTTAGGTT